ATAAGTCGTGATTTATCGCCAGGACGTATTCACCGCTGCATCAGCGGTGAAGACGTCCGAATTTGAAGGAGACATATTAACTTATCGCAGAGATCACGTAATTCCGCGGTCAACGGTTTACGTCGTTTCCGCCCGAAATCGTCTGTATCTCGTTGAATGATGTTTATCTCGCGTCACTGTTACAAGCGAGCACGCTCGAGATCGTTACCGATGAAACGGTAGCGCCAGAGCGCTCCTATCAATTTCGCTCGTCCTGTCCGTCGTGGAAGTATGCCAAAAATGTAGTCGAGGGAAATTACTGCATCCCGCGCGCGCGCGCGGAAATGTCGACGATCCATTATTTATTAAAAGATATCGCCGCACGTGCTCCGGATATTAAAGGTCAGCAGCATCCGCGAAACTCCCGGGCCGTTTCGAATACGCCCGAGCACCTTCCGAGAGAGGAATTTTTTGCTTGGTGTACATTCTCACGACCGCGCGTCGTCATTTCTTCCTCTCTTCTCTCTCTCTCTCTCTCTCTCTCTCTCTCTCTCTCTCTCGTTCTCTGCTCCTTACAAAGCCTCGCCTCGGTGGCTTCTTATCCTGCCTCCGCTTTAAGCCCACTTTACACTCCAGAAACTTTCTCGTAACCTTCTCCGGCCGACGCGTCACGTAATCGCGTAACTCCGCCATCCGCGAAATTTGTTGCCGCCTTTATCACGCCGGCACGTACGTTTCCCGGTGAAATTTTATTTTCCGCCCTGTAATCGTCCATCGGCGCTTTAGACGCGGCCGATCGGAGCGCGATGGCTCAAGGATCTACTCTACAACGTCTCTCGACGGATTAAGGGAGTTTATAGCGTTATATATCCAACCCATAACCGCGCGCGCGCGCGCGTGTCTCGCGATAACGTGTATGTGGGTAATGGCGCGTAATTACATGGGTCGTTTAACGTTAAAAATTCTCGCTCGCGGTTTCGCCGTGGAGAGCCGTCTCCTCTCCTCTCAGTGGAGGACTGTATTGGTTCGGATTAGCGCTGCTGAGTGGCTGCCTCTCTCGGCCGGATAAGTTGGGCGTGCGGCCCTCTGGAAATCGGCAGGAAGGCTCATGTTTGTTTCGTTCCGCGGCTTTCGGAGGTTTACATAAATAAATGCGGAATGAACGTGTTTTGATCGTTACGGACGCGTGAACATTAACTCTTAACTCGCGTCTGGCCCGCGTCCCCTTTCACGGCATTAATGATATGCCGGGTGAATATTCATTTGCGGATTACTTTCATGCAAATTAACGGCGCCACTCCTCGAGCATCGATGGCGTTGCGCGGGCGGTTGGCTGCGCGCGTACTCGGAGTTCCGAAAGTCTTAAAATGAAGCAGTTTGCAAACTTGATACGAACCTAATTACTCCTCACCGGCTTCATCGTCAATAAAACACCGTGTACACCGTGGCCTCGTAATTTCGATTTCGGTCCTTTTAATGAGTCGTAAAAAGGATCGTTGAGCCACGCGTTCGCGCTTGGCGGGGCCGGTGCGGTGGGAAACGGGTGCGACAGAAAGACTGTCATGCATTTTCGCGGCTGAGAGTCAAGCCGGCCGTATGTCGTCGCCGTAAAAAATTTTAGCGACTGCCGTAACACGCACGGGCCAGCGAGGTGGCAATTAAGCGCGCGGGCGCTATCGTTTAGCACCGCGCTTTATCCCCGTCCGTCGGTCACGCGCACGAAAAACGAACGTAGGACTTGCCGCGGGGTTAACTGCATCCCCGGCCATCATCGATCCCACGAAATCCGATATCGCCACGGAGTGAAACGACCTGGCGTTACAGTATACCCTGAGTTTCCTGCCTTCTGTGCCTTTGCGGCTTGTGAGTCATGTAAGGTGACTCTCTCTCTCTCCCCCTCCCTCCCTCCCTCCCCCCCCTCTCTCTCTCTCTCTCACTCTCTCGCACGCGCGCGCTCGTCTCGCTCCTGGAGCATGAATGGAAATAATAAATTTCTGACCGCGAGACATGACGAGAGTACAATGTCGCGGCTGGACTACCTCGAGACTTTCGGACTAGGCGGCTCACCGTGCGCTATCAAATAGGTGAAGCGACGATTCGCCCGACGCGATGCGCCGCCGGCTAAATTTCGTTGCTCCCCTGTGCGCGGGGAGATTGCGGGGACGTTTCAATTGTAAACCTTGAGCGAGAAGGAGAGAGAGAGAGAGGGAGAGAGAGAGAGAGAGAGAGAGAGAGGGAGAGAGAGAGAGAGAGAGAGCAATAGTTCGCCGTACAATCGGAATAATTCAGGGGATCGCATTCGAATGTTCTTTAAAGCCGAGATTTCTCAGCGAGCCCGGCTTTTTTTTTCCCAGTCGCGGATCGCGGACGCAATCACATCTTCTTGTAGTCTAGCTCATTCAGGACGTCGACGACGCCGGCGATGGAGGCTGTCCGTCAGCGCTCCGCTACGCGAGCGCATACATCGTCGACGCGCGCCTTTATCGAGATGCGCTCTAGATTTCGAGGGCGAACGTATAGCTCGCTTTTTACGCACACATCCGCGCGGGATTGGAGGAGACTCTTTCGCGAAACGTGAGATGCTCTCTTCCGCCGATGGGACCGTTTGCATCTTTTTGCATCGCGAATGAGATCCACTTCCGCGAGGCGTCGCAATGAGATTGTAATCTATACGTCTCGTCGAGTAGTCGGACGGTCGGCGACACCTCTCGAAATAGATCTACAATTTAAAAGCCGCTTAAAGCGGACGTAAGAGTCGTATTCCCGGTTCCGTAAGACACATAGGTCCTGCATACCGAGTGTCCCGGAGATGTCGTCGTGTTCAGTCGACTGTGTGTTTCCCGACTTTTTTATGGCTTTCGGCTTGATTGAAGCGATCAAAAGCGAAGCGAGTCCAACGGCGGATAACACGTAATCTCGACGTGTAACATAAAAGCGATCGTGCTCCATTTTCAGGAGACTTTTCTCTCTCTCTCTCTCTCTCTCTCTCTCTCTCTCTCTCTCTCTCTCTCTCTCTCCCTCCCTCTCTCTCTCTCTCTCGTTTCTTTCCTTTTTCTTCTTAAAGACTGTCCAGTACATCGAGAAAATGCTGAATTCAATGCTGAAAATTAACAACTTGCCAAAGAAATCGATAGTGCTTGCGATCGAGTATCCGTTGGAGAGTTCTCAGAGTAAAGAAAGATTTCGGGGGAGGAAAGAACGAGGTGGTTTCTCGGGACATCTTGTATACAAGAGGAGCATCGATCATTCCGGTTGATCCGCTTTCGAAGACGGAAGCGAGAACTTGCAGTTACTGCTTTTTCTATGGCGCGTGAACGGCGCTTCGTCCGTCCGTTCGTTCGCTCGCTCGCTCGCTCGCAGAGAGAAGTTGTTTTTCATTTAAGAAAAGATACCGCCGCCGCGTCCGCGGGGAAATTGATTCGACGTCGATGTGCGTGAAAGGTCACGTAACGGGATTGATGAGATTATTGGCTCGAAGGGCTCGCCATTTCAAGCTCTAATGCAACAAGTGAAAATATTTCTGGTAGAAGTGAGGATCGATGGCTCACCGACAAGGAAAGAAGGAGCGATGATGCAGCTTTATTATTAAACGCAATTCTCGCGATCAATTTCGCTGCGTTCGCCGGTAGTCGCAGGAAGCACGGCGTGCGTTAAACATTTCAACGTCTCTGCCCGAGGCTTCATTTGCCGATGAAAATTTCAGATGTACGTTGGAAACCCCACGGATACGATCGAGACATTCCCGACAATGAGGTATATTTATCCGCTGAATGAGAAAGTGGATATGCCTCGTAGCACTGGCTGAAGCAATACGAGACATTGCAAGGCAAGATCGTTCAGGCAAGAGCTTTTGCGTTTGCCAAGCAAAGGACGACCGATAGTCCGAGTCCGAGTGATATGGCGGATACAGCGGATTAATGGAAATAAGTGTCGCGAGATCAGAAGCCGATATGCTCATATCGAGAGAGAGATAGAGAGAGAGAGAGAGAAGGAGAGAGAAAGATCAACAACCGAGCCTCTGGGATCGCTAAGAAGCTTCCGGCCATTATTTTCCCGGATCAGAAGCCCTCGGCTTCTTATTTACGCGGCTTTGCAATATTTATGAAAATATTTTCCAATCTCGAAAGCGTATACGTAAACGCTCTGATATTCTCTTTCATACTTCTCGGGGTATTTTCTTCCGCGAGGAAACACGCAAAAAACAGTTGCTCCACTTTACTCATACAACCTATTATGCCCGCGAAATTTCTCCTCAAGGCAACAAAAGGGCATTTTATGGTGCAGCTTAGACAAGTGTTTGTTACGCATCTTTAAATTCCTGCTCTTTTCCTTCTCTCCTCGCTCCCCACCCCCCCACCTCTCTCTCTCTCTCTCTCTCTCTCTCTCTTCAATGTCCGTGTGTATACGCGCAGCGTCAGCTGTTATCTGACTGCGTGTGCGACACTTATATTTGCTAATTACCATGATATTGCGCAGATGTTGTTAGCGACAACGAGGACATTGTGGAAACCTAACATGGACCACGGTTAGAACAGGTGACTATCCTCCCCCTCCTCACCTCTGCACTGCACCGCGTAGTGCGATCGATAATTCACAATTAGGGTGGTCGGTATGGTCTTGTCGGCCCTAATCTTCAAAGGGCCCCTCTCCGTGTAATAGCGTGATATCGAATAGCTTCAGCCTCGTTTCCTCCGTGTTCCAGCCTCGAAGACTACCGTGAACCGTCCCTTAAATTGAGATGAGAGACAGGAGAGAGAGAGAGAGAGAGAGAGAGAGAGTGTGTCCGTATGTGTATGTTATCCGTTCGCGAGTTAAACTTTGTTACTCTCTCGTTGCTAATCGTCCGATACTCGCGAAGAAAATATCGTGACGCAAAGATGTAAGGTCAATGTCGACTGTTACGAATGAATGTCGGGCGTTGGCTCGTGGTGTTTACTCGACGCTGCAAAACACAGCGTTGTATTCACTAACGCGCTCTTGAGCCTGCGATTGTTCCGCAAGCAAAGATCCGTTTCTCTTAGTTTCAGGATGGACGGAACGACGATATATAACGGTGCGAGCACCGTCGCTAGCTTCATCAGTCTCGAGTCCACGAATCTCAGTCTGACGCTGAGCAAAGCAACGGGCGGCGTCATCGACGGCGACCTTGATGTCTCGCCGGTGACCTTGTCGTCGGCCTGGTCCAGAGTGGCCCGGCTTCTGCTGCTGGTCTCCCTCGCCGTTTGCGGGAGCGTGGGTAATGTCTTCATGATATCTGCCGTGGTGGTGGAGGATCAGCTCAACAAACGGGGTAAGTCTGCAGTTTTATCTTTACGACTGCGAATAAAAACGGCGAGCGACGCGAAGAGTTGGCGCACAGAGGCGGAGAATCGTTCTCGCGCGCGGGAGTCGCTATAAATTTGCGACGGAAAATTAATATAGTAAAGACGACGTTATAGAAAGGATTCGGAGAGAGAGACAGAGAGAGAGAGAGAGAGAGAGAGAGAGAGAGAGAGAGAGAGAGGGTGACGGGTCGGACGGGGAGTTGCGGCTGAAAGGGAACGTTCTCATCGACAAATGCAACGACAAAAGTTTTTACTGCATAGAGGTATATCCGACTAAAAGCCATCCAGGGGGTCGTACATTTCCGATGTGCCTCGCGACAACGTTCTTTCGTATATACCATCGCGGTAAGATCTCTTATCTTTTTTTGCTTCTCCACGGACAAAAGCGTCCTCCGTCAGTATCCGGCCGAGGAGGGATATAACCAGCGAAGAACGAACGAACGAACGAACGAACGAACGAACGAACGAACGTTGTCGTCGTCGTCGTTGTCGTCGTGTCGGCACAATCTGCGAGGAAGATGGGATCTTCATCGTGCCATTATACCTGCGGCAATATAACGAGATCGATTTCTCGTACTATTTGCAAACCGAACTCCTCATTCTCGCAGATACGCACCCCGACGCGATAATAAATAATCCCTGAGCGCTATCGCGTGTCGTTGTCTCGCGCTGGCTCGCGCGCGCCGAGACCGACCCGAGATAATTATTATTTGCACGCGAGCACTCGGCATAGAGCGTAATAACAATGACGCTGTGGATGGAATGGAATACAAAGCAACGTGGGTGAGAACGTAATTACATCGCCTAGGTATCGCTCTTTCTCTCGTCTCTCTGCGTGCGCGCGTCTCTCTCTCTCTCTCTCTCTCTCTCTTCTTATCTGTATATTTAATATAAATTGAAAAATTTAATCTCTCTCTTTCTTTCTACATTTCTCGTTTTTTTCTCCCTCTTCTTTTGCCTTTCTCTCTCTCTCTCTCTCTCTCTCTCTCTCTCTCTCTCTCTGTACGTGTTGTAGAAAAGAGATGTGAACAGATTGTCTTAGAACTCCTGACATAAAGTAAAGTTTAGTGATAAAATTATTGATGGACTTGGAGTCAACTTTTTTTTCTAAGGGAAACGATGGAAGATTCCTCGTAAATTGTCAAGTTTTGCACAATTTATTTCTCATGATATTTATGCGTCGCTTAAAATACTCTTCTTCTCTATGTTATTTTCTCGTTTGAATTTGTCGTGTCGTATTTTCTTTCGTTTCGCGCAATAGTTATTTATTATATATATATATATATATATATATATATTCAAGTACTGTAAATATGTCTTTTTTTAAAAAGGCATCTAATCTTCCTCAGAGCAGCAAATCAATTTTACTTTGCTGTGTTTTTTTCCCTTTACCTCTCTCTTTCAAAATAAATTTTTTTCTCCCGCTTCTTCTTCCACTTTCTCCGCTCCTTCTATTTTCGCTTCTTCTTCTTCTTCTTTTTGTCGACACTTCAATTTGCCGAGTTTCTCGGTTTTATAACTGTGTACCGTCACTGGCCATCCTCGTAATTCTTATTGAAACGGTCCGAAACATTTTTACCGCTATTTTATTCCGCATGAATCTCGATAGTGGTGCAAATAATACCAGCTTTCGTTCGCCTGGAGCCATTCACCGAGAAAATCTCGTTCCATTTTTCTCGTTTTTCCAGCAATAAAGTTCCCTTAACGCGCAGCCCGCCGCGATGCGTCGTCCCTCTAGCTGCGATGACGGCGAGAAACTTGAGTCATTATTGTCGCGATAACGAGAATTAACCTCCCGACTATTTTTTGCGATTTTACAACGACCGTATACATATAGAAGTTCAATATGACGAACGGAAACGTTCCCGGGGGAATGATCTTCGATAGTTTCACGATCGTCTCGCGTGTGTTCGACGTCTAAAGTGTAGTATAAAATAACGATAATGTGATGGCGCGCACGCACGAGCGATTGTGAACTCTATCTTGAAGAAATCGCGTGAACGAGCGGTTGGACAAGAATGAAATGAGATATCTCCGAACCAACTATCCTCTGTTCTTTCTTCTACGGTCTCGATCACATATTTATCACAGTGCTGATCATCGTAATAACATTCCGACAATCCGCTCGCTTCAACTTTTCGAAGCACGGGCCTCGGTGATACGAGTTCGAGTTGTTCGCGAGCCGTTATTTTTCATTCATCTTCGCGGCAATTTTCGCTTCTCCGTTTGACCTCAGAAATACCCGAGAGATTCTACACTGCGCTAACTTAATAACTTGGATTAGTAATTCTATATATTCTTCTGACAAAGTAGTCTCGGGGTATAATGTGGAGCGTTCCTTGGGGTGAGAAAGAACTTGGAGCAACTTGGAGCGGTGCGATGCAATTCTCCACCGCGGGTGGGACAGCCGTCATGAGGAATTTTCCTTCAGCCACTAGCAATTTACGCGAATGGCCAATAATATCTAATACAAAAGCCTGATATGGATAAAACATCGTAGGACATCGAATAAAGCTCGCAACGAGATTGAAGTTTTAATGTGCCGATCGCGCGCGCAATTTCGAACTTCACGATCGTCCTTTCCAATAAATACGTCCGAACGTGACGCGACGGCAACTGGCCTGTCTGTAGCCGGAAATCCGGCCCTCGGACGCGATTCCTCCTTTTTCCCCGCGCCGGGCGGTAGATAGGTAGATAGGTAGATAGATAGATAGGTAGGTAGGTAGGTAGGTAGGTAGGTAGGTAGGTAGGTAGGTAGGTGGGTAGGTAGGTAGGTAGGTAGGTAGGTAGGTAGGTAGGTAGGTAGGTAGGTAGGTAGGTAGAAACGTCTCCGGCGTGCGCGCGGCATGCGCGAGGACGAGGACGAGGACGAGGACGAGGATGAGGATCGGGAAGCTCGTGGATGTCTGTTCGTGCCTGACGTAAACCCCATTTCTACTGCGGACGTGAAGTGTCGGACGGACTTCGGCTTCGTTTGCGTGAACTCTGCCGGCTCGGAGAGAACGAGGGAAAGAGAGAGAGAGAGAGGAAGAGAGAGGGAGAGGGAGAGAGAGAGAGAGAGAGAGAGAGAACTCGAGAAACAAAAAGCCCACCGCAGCGGGTCCGCGATGCCCGGTAACCCGATGGCGCCGTAATGGATTGCGCAGTCGTGGGGCCGCTATAAGGGTGTACACGGATGAGCGAGTCAATTTCGCGGCGCGTAGCCGCACGAGCAGGCCCGCTGCCGTATAACTCTGCCCGCCGTCGTATCTAATGCCGCAACGAGAGAGCGCCGTTCTATATCTTTCTCCCTCGCTCTTGTCTCATCTCGTCTCGTCTGGATGCTCCCTTGGAAACCCCGATCACGGAGGCGGCGGCCGAACGCGGTGAATCCCCGCCGGTAATGCGAATACTTCGGGTACTCCGCGGTGCGGTTGCGAATAGTTCGGTTCGGCGCTCGTGAAACGAGACTCGCGAGAGAAAGAGGAAGAAAGAGAACGAAAGAGAGGAAAAGATAGAGTGAGAGAGGGGCAGAGGGAAGGAGGGGGGAGGGGAGAGAGGGGGGGAGAGAGAGAGAGAGAGAGAGAGCACGCGAGCGAGCGAGCTGACTCGGTAAATCGATTAAAACAAATTCTGATCAGCGCGGATTCATTCGGTACGTAGAAGAATACCCGCGGAAGGGGAAGGGAGCACGTTCCCATGACGATGCCGCGGCACTGCGGCTAGACAGCGAGCGAGCGGACCCGGGCGAGAGATAGAGATATGGAGGAGGGAGATAGAGAGAATCAATTTCGAAGTGACGCCACGAGCGCTGATGCGGGATAATTTATTCCACGCATCAACCGCTGAATCGATCGGATCTCGTCACGCCGAAACGTACCTCCGGAAAATGCGATCGGCGAATGCGGGCGGCGCGAATGCGACGACTGCAGGGGCTTAATTCGTCGATACTTGAAGAGAAAGAGAGAAAGAAAGAAAGAGGAGAGGGAGAGGGAGAGGGAGAGAGAGAGAGAGAGAGAGAAAGCACTTCGATCCTGCCCTCTCGCGAATCCCCCCCCTCCCCTCTTCTCTCTTTCTCTTTCTCTCTCCTAGGTTTTTGCCTACCGAGAGACCGCGATATTTCATCCTATTAACCGGGACGAAGAGGCGGCGGCTAAAAAGGCGGCGCCTTCTACCCGCCGCGGCGCGGACGTTGCAATTTGTCGCGTAATCATTTTTATCGCGGTGTAATATCCACGCCGAAGGCGCGAACACGTTTGCGGCCGTGCGGCCTGCCGGCGTGTTGGTGCGCGAGCGCGTTTCCGAAAAAGTGACGAGGCCGCCCTCGCTAAAAATGTCACCTCGATTTCGCAACCGGAGAGTTGCGCATCTCCTCTCCGTTGGGGCCACGATGTAATTTATTTTATCTGGAGGAGCACACACACACACACACACACACACACACACACACACACACACGCGCGCGCGCGCGCGCGCCTTTGCAGCATATTCGCAGTGTTATGACTTTCGAATTGTCAATTTCTCAGTTACGCGCACGTGCGGCTAGAGCAATTGACAATTTGACGGTGGAGGAATTTCCGCGTGAGAAGAATTCCGAGTGAACAATTCTCCGCACGGGGGGGGGGAGGGGGGAGGTAGTAGTTCCCTTACGTGAATATTAGCCGCAAGGTCTCCAAAGCCGGACGCCATCGCGACATCTCCCGCTGCGTGTAATTAGCGATCTCGCGCATTACGAAAAAAAAAGAAAAAAAAAAAAAACGAAAAGAGAAAGAGGGACAAACACAAGGTGTTCGATGTTGCAACGAAAACCGTCTGCGGCGCGCCGCAATTACATCACGCGCGTTAATGAAAGTGTCTGCAGTGGCGAGTACTCGGTGTGTGTAGCGCGAGATGGCGATAAGACGGCGAGGAAAACGCCAAGTTACACACGTACGGGCTGCAATTTAACGCGCTACTTTGCCGGTAATTTATAGGTGTTGATGACTTCTTAAAAGTGCTTTCGCCGCTCAATTAAGCCGCGCGTTACTCATAACTATATACGCGTTTAAAGGTGATTTGAATACTTGATGACCCACCGCATCGTTTCGCGCCGGCGCGGGGCTAACTCCCATTGTGCGCGGTAACGTATTTACATAAGAAAACCATAGAGCGAGTGAAAATTTGTCTTGCAAGGGCGAGCGACGAGGTTGGGCAACGAACTGCGGGGGGGGGGGGGGTGAGGGAGGGAGGAAGGGACAGAGGAGAGCGCGGTTGCCTCGGCGAGGAAATGCATAATTATAATAATCGTTTTTGCTTCTTTCTCTCTCCCTCTCTTTTCTTTCCGCGCATGCATATGCATGCGACGCGGCGATTGACTAACAGGGACCTTCTTCCCCCGTCCCCGTCCGTATATGTACAATAGCGCCGGCATATCGCGGCATATCGCCTTTTTCGTTCGTCGTGAAACGGATCGTTAAACTTAGCGTGAAATCCCGACGCTCCAACGCGCAACTTGGCGAAACGAAAAAAATCTTATTACGCATTTTATTACTCATAGAGCGAGCGAGCGGGCAGGCGGGCGTAACGGGCGTACGGTCGCTCTCGTGCAGAAGTGTGCAACCTTATTATAGCGTTATACCCGTTTCCTCCGGCGCGCCTCGTCCCTAAGGACGTGACGATGTACGGATATTATTTCCTTTTCTCCGTGTCTTCGCCGGGTATTGATCTCGGGGAAATCCCCGAGAATCGGGGGTATATATGGCGTCGTGAGAGGGGGCAATGCGAGGTAATGCGGATATTACGCCCCTTTCTTCGGGGCGACTTTGTGCAATTTGATATTTCGCTGGCTGCTACGAGGCTCTACGTATCAACTTATGAAATGTTATAATCGTTGACGCGCAATAACAGCTGCGGCCGCGCCGTGGCCTCATACTCTGATTTTATTGGCCTATCTCGTGGTCGTCGCGCTCGTCGCGACGTGGCCGTTCGCAAGCAAGTTTTACAGCTGGCATAGCTGTTCCCTTCGACCGACATCGTTTCGCAATTACTATGGTTTTTACGATTCGCCCGAGCAGAAGCTACGACCTTTGATATTATGCCCTCGCGGGCGCGCACGGGTTGATTAAACGTCGGGGAAATCGAGCGCGGTGCTCTCTCGGGGGGTTAGCCCGAAACGGTGGCGAAAATCGAGTAGCCGCGTCGCTTTAGCGCGACGTGGGACTGCGAGGAGGAAAAAGAACGCCCAAGATGCGCAATGGCCCCGGATAATATAATAGCTTGGCACGAGGCTAGCCGCCCGAAAACTGGCACTTTTGCCAATGGAAGGAGACGGTGCGCAAAAGTGCGGGCGTTTTAGACGCTCTTGGCATCGCCGCCCGCGCCGAAACGCGAAATCTCGTCGTTGTCGTCGTGTACGATAGATCGTTACGCTCGTGCTCGACACGGTCAGCTCGTGAATTCGTATCGCGAGCGAGCGATCGATCGATCGATCGGAAAAGATGCGGTCTAACCCTAGGTAGGATTACGTGCCAGACGGCAGATTGTAGTCGCGACTATACCAAGTCACGACAAAACTGCTCGTAAACGTAGCGGAGGAAGCCTCGAAAGGCAAACGAAACCCCTAATTTACGCGCATTAGCGCAACCTACTACTACTGTCCGGCCCACCCACCTCCCATCGTCGTGCGCACGACAATCGCGTCATTAAGGGTATTAAAGTTGATATTATTGTACGTGACTCGCCGACGAAACTGCCGCGACATTGCCCGAAAATGCGCGCGAACGCCGTCGACGTGACGCGATTGTCGACATTCGCGCGAATGCGTCGCTTTGTCGGGTCGGCCGATTACCGCCGCGTCGTTAAATCTTTGCGGGATGAATTTGTCACTTTCCAGCGGGAGCACACACGTCGCTTCGCGCTCGACAACTCGAGATCTCGAGATCTCTAAAATATCCGCGCGACGCGCGCCGGAGAGAAATGAGTTCGACTCGATTTCACCTCGAATGCGAATTTATCGAGTTAATGCGACAGCGAAATTTCGACTTCGGGATGAGCCGGGGTTAAATCCACTCCGGCAAGTTTTACGAATCTGAACTTACGCTCGACACGCGAGCAACACGGGAGCGTGTCGAGCGTACGCGCGACTCGCGCGTGAATTAATTTAGACATCGTTTCGGCCAATTTTGAGAGATTTTGAGAGAGATCGCGGGATAAGGAAACATTAGCCGTAGGTAGTACAATCTACCAAGACCGCGCGATACACACAGCCTCGCGAGCGCAAAAAGCGCCGGCTCTCTCGAGCGTTTCCAGATCGCAAGAAGTGCTAGCAGCTAATTACTCTAATGAGTTTCACGCGGCTTCTTTTTCCAGGAAACGCGTTCCTCGTGAACGTGGCGCTGGCGGACCTGATGGTGACTGGCCTGGTAATACCGGTCTCGGTGATTGTAATCCTGGCGGGCCACGCGGAGTCTCTGAGTACCTGCCGATTCGAGTGGACCCTCGAGGCTCTCTGCTTCCTAGTGACCGTACTGACGCTGGCCACAATCGCCGCCGAAAATTACGCACGTCTGTGTCTGCCTGAGAGGTACGGTGGAAATGGACAGAGGGAGAGAGAGAGAGAGAGAGAGAGAGAGAGAGAGGGAGGGAGGGAGAGAGAGAGAGAGGGAGAGAGAGAGAGAGAGAGAAAAGGAGAGGGAGAGACCCGCGTAAAAGGGGTGTTTCCGCAATTTAACGCGTCGACTGCCACGTGACATCACGGTCGTGTTTCATTCTGCCGTCTATTTTATCCCCGACGACCCTTTTGTAGCTTCGTGATATTCGAGCGTGCTGTACATCGTGAGAAATAGAGTTCCCTCTGGAAGAACGACTCGGCTGCAGTTTGGTTTGGTCGTTTCTCTCGGTCTTTACGTATTTCCGATTGTTTGCGTTCCCGGTCGCGTTCAGACAGGCCACTCTTTATCGAGAATATGCTTCTCAAATTTATAGAGACGAGATATGTACTTTGATATCACAGTCGAAGACTTCGAAAACCGAGATCTCGGGTATTCTTAGTTCGCAAGCTTCGTGTCTTCGCAAGCGATTTTCGCACATCTTTCAAGCGGAGTCGTCTCGTTCTTCCAAAAAAACTTGTCAATTATGTACATGGCAAAGCTTGAAAATATTTTCTCCCTTATATTTCTTTTTCATGAACTTTCCAAACTTGCGATATATTTACGAAATGCCATATAAATTGAACTAATAATTAATTATACAATTAATTGTAATTATTATCTCCGAGAGACCCGCGGATCACCCACCCCAAATTATACTTTCTCATATTATCGTAATATCCACTTTCTTTGCGCTGAAAAAGCGGTGGACCCGATTGAATGCAATTCGTTGCTTAATGACGTGATAATTTTCAAGCGTTACGGACGAAACGCGGGATATCGTTTTCATAATGCGGCGGTTACTCAATATTTTATATATTTATGCGTTTTCCGCGGGCAATACGATTACAGTGCTGCCGCGCGAGAACGCAATTCTAAAGTAATGACACACATTGTATCCGGCCCGGCACTATTTATATGCAAAACTCCAACTTTCTATGCAAATTCATTTGCTGTGACATTTCCATTTGCGCATAGACACAGTTCCGGATTAAAATGTTTCCTAGTTAGCTTTCATGGCGCGCGGCCCGAATGCACAATACAATTCCCGTCTCGTGCCGCGATCGACCGAATATCATATTAATTATCATTCGTGACCTCGCGCGCGCGCGCGCGCGTCATAATTTATACACTGCAAACGCAAAAAGTTGCTCCTTGCCGCGGCAAGCACGACCGATACAAATGGCCGCGCGCATCCGTCCCGCGCGCTAACGATCATACAGCCGACGAAACCGCGAGCGCGCGATGTCGCGAAAATGAAGCGTCCGTCTCTACGAGTCCCGTCGCGGCCGGGGAGATTGATCGGCTTATTGCGAAAATAGTAGAAAATGGTGCTGACCTTTCGTCTGACCGTCGAAATGGCGCGAATCCAACGCTGGACACGAACGGTGACCCGGTGCCCGATCAATATTACAACCCTGTAACTGCCACCGCTCGGGCAGAGACGAGTCCGCGCTATTACCGTTATCGCGTCGTCTCATCCGGAATATCTTTCTCTCTTTTCCTTCTTTTTTTCTTTCTTTCTTTATTTCCTCCGACGTCGACGTCGCGAGCGGGGAGCGAGACTCGCTCTCGCGGCCGTGTGCGTCGACGGACCGACGCGAAGGAGACAGGAGGGAAACGCGTTGTCAGCGACAGCGGAAACAGGAGGGCCCATCCGCCATCGAATTAAGTACTAGCTTCGGCGATCGAAAAGATATAGCAGACGTGAATTGCGGCGGCAACGGCGGCGGCGGCGGCGGCGGCGGCGGCGGCGGCGGCGGCGGCGGCGGCAGCGGCGGTGACGGCGGCGCGATCAATAGTCACCAGCAGTTTCTGCGAGTGCCGGGTGCTTTTTGCTCGCTAACGCGCCTCGATTTCTTTCTCGGCGCGCCGTCGAGGGCCCTTTAAAGCATCGCCTTTAACCCACGCGCTTTGTTTACGAGGTGGCGCTTGTCGGTTACTAATTGAGCGGTCCGTTTCCGGCACGACGCGACGTACGAGCGCGCTCGTCGTTCTTGCTCGCGGCCGCTTTCGGTCTCTCGCTCCGAGGGACGGCACCGTGTACACTGATGTACGCGGTGTAATCGTTAACAAAGTTTGTTATTTGTCCCGTAGGGTGGCATGAAAAATGGATCGAAGCCCGGGGTGTCTCGATTTGTCGGGCCTCCGCAAAAACTAACAAACTCCCGCGCGCGCAAAGGCCGGCCCGAAAGGGTACCTCTTTTGGTTTGGTAAAAAGCGGAGGGCGTTTTAACGCGAATTTTACGCGGCTGGCTGCGCGGCTTTCGATGGCTAAATAAACAACTTCATAGCGCGTCGCGCTGACCGCTCGGTTAATCAAACCGAGTTGTTTTTCATACATAATCCGAAATGGAAATATTATCAAATCTCTTTTGATTTTCCGTCACATGACACGACACACGCCAGCGAATACGGCTCCGCGGCTCCGAACGACAATTTCATCATCAGAAAGACGTATCGCCCGATCGCTCGTAAATCGACGCGCCTCTTCAATCTGAAAACCGCGAGATCCCCGAGACTCTCGTCCCCCGCACTAAAACGCAAATTACGCCAGGACTACACGCTCGCGTTGCAGGGCTGCTCGAGGAGAGCGAGCTTGATGTCGGCGCGGGCGAGGGGGGAGGGGGATGGGGAGGGGGGAGAGAAAAGGCACGCGGGAACGATCAATTTTATCTCGCGTGCTACCGCCGCGGCATGCCGATACCTGAAGACGAAGTTAAACCCATTTATGGTTGGCGCGCGCGCGCGCGCGCAAACAAGCTCCGAGCCTCATCAAACTGCCGCGACTACCGGCTAACAATTTGCCTTAATAAACACTTGCATTATCCCGCGCGCTGCGCGCGGGATTGTCTCTATTCCCATGTAAACAATTCACTTCGATCAAAAGCGAGGCTATCTGGTTCTTGCAGGCGGGTCTTCATTTGGCGGGGCGGTCGTCGTAACATATATAGCCAAAACCTGCGCGCTTGTAAAGCTCTTTGGTCCCCGGTGGCCTTACCGCCGTCCGCGACAATAGCGGCCGAAAATTACGGCCGCTTGTGTTAACTGTTTGCCAGCCGAAAGATAAAGCGAGTGCAGCGCGGCGATCCCGAGCAATCGATACCTCTACGTTCCTCTGCAATTCCCCATGGCATGCACGTTCTTGTTCCGCCTCCGGGGTGTGCGTTTTTGTCCTGACAATTCACTACGATACTTCCGCTAACGACTATCGAGAAATTTATATAACAATTCTCCGGAAAGAGAGAGAGAGAGAGAGAGAGAGAGAGAGACAGACAGAGAGAGAGAGAGAGGGACGTACGTAATTGCTCCGCCTTCCCGTCCCCGCACGCCTCCGGGAGCGTGGAAGCTTTCGCAGAGACGATTCTCCGTCGACTTTTGTCCGACAACAACCGCCGAGAGTCGTGCGACAAATTTTCGCCGACTGCGCTCTAGCGTGTACACACTACGCGCCTCGTTTCTTACATTTATTCTATTAGAATTTGATACCTTCACTTTAGCCGCGGGCGTTTCTAAGGCAACACCCTAAATACGGTAATGTGCGCAAGCACCGGGGGTCATCGTACGAGTACATGACCGCGAGGTACCGCCGGTGGCGACAATAAAGGGAAGAAAATTATGACCGCGCCTGTTTACCGGCGGAAAGGTGAAGAGCGCTAGACGGGGAAATCGATAATGGTCGTACTCCTTGAAACCGTTTTCTATCCGGCAGCCTCTCTCTCTCTCTCTCTCTCTCTCTCTCCCTCCCTCTCTCTGTCTCTCTCCTTGTCTGTCGTTCGTCGTCGCCGTTCAATTTACTTATAACGCCGAGCTTACGTACTTTTCCGGGCCGGCGAGTGTAAATATTTTTGGGCTAATGCGTTTAGTGCCGTAAGCAACATTGCCGTAAACAACATTGTGGGAGAAAGGATAATACGCCGTAATACGCGTCTGGCCATATCGCATCGTTCGTGCGATCCGCACGTAACGCACAACTCGCGATGGTTAATGTCGTTGGTGGGATATTCGGGCCGATGTAAACACAGCGAATGGAGTAGAAATCAAATTACTGTTATCAGTTTAAGCCATCACGTATAATAGCGCAACGGCGACCAATGCTCGGAACTTTGGGTTTGATGTCGAAGTGCTTTCCCGGTTTTCTATCAGCGTCACGATCGAGTTCGTAATTTCGCATTCCGGGCGACGTTCTCTTTAGCTTGAATTGTCGGAATCCGTAACCGATAACGGACGATCCCCAGGGAAAGACGTCGACGACGACGACGACGACGACGACGACGACGACGACGACAGGAATGACGACAACGACTGCCGCTTTTCATACACACGCGGAAAGTTTCGCGACAATACGGCGTTACGGCAAGTATTTTAGTCGGTCGCGTCAGAAGAATCACAGCGAACACGTGGACTCGGCGAAGTTTCCTCGCATTGTAAACGAGAAATCGTCCGCCAGCGCCGCTAACTCCGTAATTACCGACTCGTTTTCCAAGCGCCCTCGTTAATCCGCGGACTAGTACGACCAACTCCGTAATTGCAGTCGAGGTGTATCACTGGAAGAGAGGGAAATATTTTCTTTTAATTGAATACACCCGTATATAAGAAACTCGGGACTTAAACAAGCTCGCGATGCAATTAAAGGGAAAACATCCGTACACGAGGCCGCACGTTGTCTCTTGTTGTTGTTCTCTCTGAAGAGTCAGCCGGAGAGATGCGTGCGGTGGTCGCAGGTGAGCTGACGGAATCTTGACAGTTTCTATCCGCGCGCGCGCGCACCTTCGAAACGTCCCGTTCCCGATTGCATTATTTAACAGCGAGACGTACGGTCCTCTTTACTCATTGATATCTGCGACGACATGCCAAGCCGCGGAGCGTAACAAGCTAACCTAGCGTTCCGTCGCGAGCGAGCGAACGAGCGAAGAAGCAGCCGTGACTTCTCGCGACGACGGCGCGGCGACATCGGACGTTGCGCGTTCCGCTCCGTCCGATGTCGTGACCGAAAGCGGAGAAATCTCATAGATTATTTCCTCCTGTGCTTATATCGACGCTTACAGCGCAGCACGTCTCAATTTCCCAGGTACGCCGGGCTGACGGCCTGTCACGTGACGACCACCATCATCGCCGTGTGGATGATCGCCGTGATCGCCGTGGTCCTGCAATCATTCATGGACGTGGGCCCAGACTTTTGTCGCCGCAGGCTCAGCGGCATCGCGATGGAACAGGCGATAGGTGCGAGCGTGCTGGTAGGGCTGCCCGCTCTGACGACGATTTTCCTCTACGTGAAGCTGGTGATTCACGTACGACGCGCCACCCGGGTCTCGTACAAGCTGCCGGCCGCCACCTCGTCGGACTACGAGCTCACCAAGACGAACATATGCAGCTGCCTGATGTTCGTGGTGTTTTGGCTGCCGTTCGGCTTGGCCGTGTCCGTCAATTCCTTCAGACCGATCAGCCCCCGCGTGCTCTACAACCTGGCCTGGTTCGCCCTGACCAAGTCCTGCTTCAACTACATACTCTACGGCGTGGCGGACCGCCACTTTCGCAGCGCTTACGTCAAGCTCTTCCATTACTGCTGCTGCAAGACGGTGAGCTTCTCGAGGAGGCCGCGCGGCGACGTGCGCCTCAGAGTGCACATCATTCACTCGTACGCAAGCCCGACGGGCCGTCAGGCCGGAGACAGGCCCAACGGACGTGAGATCCACGAGCTCTAGAGGGTGATCGATAGGCGCGGGACGCGCTCGTGTACAGAGGACGCCGGCGGCGACGTCGAGCGCGGGGCGAGGCGGGCTGAGGATGCATGCCCCCCCCCCTCCCGATGAAGATGTCCACGGCTGCAGCCGTGCGTGACGCGACCTTTCGCGGGCAAACGATTTTCCCGGGTTTTTGCCAGGTCGGACGAGAGATCGTCGCGCGTCTCGACGCCGCCGCCGCCTCGTCGGCGGTATACGGTATGACCTTACAGGGAGGCATTAATTGGTTTGTCTCCCGCCTCGATTCTCTCCCGACTCGCGACCACCGATACGAACGGCGGAATTATTCGCCACGTTGGGCGTGGCCTCTGTTTCCGTTTTTACGAGGATACCGCAGGAGCGAGTCCTTCGAGCCAGCCTCTCAGTGCTCTCTCGTGCTCGTGGAGACGTTGACGTCGTCGTCGCATAAATCTGCCGCGGTGCCACGGTTATATATCGCCCGTTCTTTTTTCTAGCCGGTCTAATCTATCCGCGGCTATCCGGGGTTATTTTTCAGGCAGCATCGTTAACAATGGCTTCTACTGGCGATATTGTATCTCGCGCGTAAATTAATGGAACCTTAAGGGAAAACATCGGCACTAAGGTTATTATACGTGACGTAGTGAATGTCGTGTCTAATGTCTAATGAACTATCCGGGTCTGATGGATCCGAAGAGATCGCCGGACGCGTTGGGAGACGTATAGAGCTCGGAAGCGTGTACATCCCGGCATTTCCGACGCCAATACGAATGGTTGCCGTCCAAGGGGAAACGTTCTCTAAAACGATAACTGTGGATTTGCGCATTACGATCCCGTCAGAGCTCGACACCGCGCGCAGTCAGCGAAACGCCGCAGCAGCGTCACCGCTTCCGACGAAAGAAGTGTCGAAAATGTCCGCGCCAATTTGTTCCCCCCGTACTCCCACCGTAGACAACGCGCGACGGCACTTTTTTGATTTTCTTTCCGAGAGCGAGATGATCCCGCGCACACACGCGGGGATGTATGTTCGATTGTACGACTCAGCAGAGGCTGCTCCCGCTCTCATCGGGCGTCGCGTTTTGTTTCTCGACTTTGTTGCATCGTCTCATTTATCGCAAAACGTACTTTGTCGGCGTGGGAAAGCGGGAATCCCCGATCTCATCTTGTAACAAGGGGAGACGGGTGTCTCACCCGCGACACAGCATTTTATCTGGCTGCGAGACAAGACGCGAAACGCGGACGAGAGGGAAAATAAGGTTTTCCCAATCTCGATTAAATTTCCCGGCGGAAAGCTTACCGGTATTCCGCGAGGGAAGGCGAGAAAGGGGCCGCCAGCCGAAGTTATACGCGCCGCCCGGTAGGAAGTAATTTACGCCGGTGCGCTGTAACTTCGCTATGTGTATGCGAGATTTAAGCTTAACGAAGACGCTGCTAACGTCGCGAACACCACATCCCGAATTATGGCGGCTGCGCGGCAGTAAGTCGGCCGGTAGATGAAAATGCCGTAACGTTTAAAGAGGTACTTGGCGGCGCTCATCATCCTCCAAAGTTAATAACATTCCTGTAACGAGGTGAAGTCGCGTGGGTCGGGCGAGAGGAGCGAGTCGATAATATAGATGGCAATAAAATTGGTTAAAACTTTCAATACTTGGCTCGCGTGTCGATCTCGACACGTCGGGCAATTTAGCGAGATCTCGCTGGAAAAGATAGTTTTCAGTCAATTATTATGCAAATCGAACACGATCGCTCGCGGGGTAGGGGGGGGGAGATGGGCACTTTCCATCAAGTAAGGATCAGAGCCAGAGGATCAGAGCGTGCGGGCCAAGCACTGTAATAGGCTTTTCGGCAGAGATACGTGAATTTTAAGGATCGGTTTATACATAAGTTCGCTGATATGAGACAAATCGACTGGACGTAAAGTATTCCTCGCGCAAAGAAGCGCGACGCGAATCGGAAAATAATCCTCTCATGATGCCGTAACGCTTACGTAAGCTCGTGGATCCCCCAAAATTGCCTCGTTCGTTTTAACAGACGCGTTCTCTCGTCTCGCGTAACGAAATCGCGCATCGCCGTTCTCGTCTCGAAACTGAAAGCCCACGTGTGACGCGCTCTACCTACGGTCTATTTAATTTACGAAGCTACATATCGAAGCACGAAACGTAATTCTCGACTCAATAATTAATTACGTATTCTGGATCTAGACATATCTGGCCCTCGCAAATAACGGCCCTCAGCCGTCGGAATATCGAGGAGTACGCCACGCGAGAAAACAGGTATCTGCACGGCGCTCATTACTGCCCCCGTAACCCTCCCCGACGGATAGCGGAGGAGATATAGCTGAGAGGGGCGTTCACGTGTAACCCGGATTTAACGAAAAGTGTGAGAACTCACGTCCGATGATGATATCATATCGGCGCGGGAAGGAAAAAGAAAGAAGAAAAAAAAAAGAACGCGAGAGAGATACGCGGAGGATTAACTCGCGCGGATACTCGTGTCTTCGTGCCGTGACTCGATCGTCCCGGAGCTCCGCCGCGTATTTCGTGCAATCGGCCGGTGAATATTGTCGTGCCAATTATTCTGGAAAACGACGCCATTCTTCAGCCCGGCTGGGTAATTTGTTACGTACCGCGCGGCGATGCGTTCGCTTTGCCGTGTCGCGCTCCTCGGGACGGGACACTGTTTCAGGGACCGCGATTTATTTAGTAGCGTCTCATTGAAGGACACTCGTTCGCGAGTGACACCGGTATTCGTTCTACGCGAGAATGCGCTCGCTCCGTCCACACAGCAGGCCAGGCGCAGCTGCGATCGCGAGTATCGGATTTGCGCCCGATACTTCCCGGACTTGTTTCGGCAATCCATTTCGCCGTTTTTCCGTCACATACCTGAGTAATCGTCGATCTGTACTTTGTACTTTTTATATTCGCCCACGGATAATTTCATGTCTCGAAGTGGAGAGGGAGAGGGAGAGGGAGAGGGAGAGGGAGGGAGAGAGAGAGAGAGGAGAGAGAGAGGAGAGAGGGAAAATCAAGTCTAGATGATATTATCAAGGAGCTTCTGAGACAGTTATCAGGATTTCGAATTTTTAGTTTTCGGAAGAATTACACGTCCTTGTGACATGCGACGAAACCTCAGGTTTCGTCGCACATTTCCCGACGCGACGAAATTTTCGCTAAAATTGCACAAAGTACGACCAATAGTTTTCTATCGGACACATCGAACGGAACAGTTCGTCGTGTCTCAGTACAACAACGCACTTCACGATCGCGGCCTCGATGATCGCTCATCGTGTACTCGAGCACATATCTCTGTCATGCTTGACATTTCGAGATTTATTCCACTATATATATACATACTATATGTATCTTTACCAATTAACAGTAAGAAGCGCGTGACATTGTCGCGCGTATTTGTGTGAAATGCGAGTGAATGTCGACTAACGTCGCTTTTCACTCGCAATTCTATATCATCGTTTAGCTGATAACCGAACTCGTGCGAGAGTCAAAGTAAGCATGTGTAAAAAAAATATGTGTACTCCTCCCTAATTATATGACCCTTCAAAACGCAGTCGAGACTACGTAATTACACTGGAGAATATAATCGAAATATAATCAACAGTGTGTCACCTCGTGTTATTAGCAAAAAAAAAAGTATAATAGAAGATCATGTATGTATTCGGGAACTTGAAGTCAAAACATTTTTGTCTACGAAACATTTTTGTCGGACTGATAACGCGCTGTTACACGATCGACGGGGCCATGTATCCGTCGATTGACAAACAATAACGACGATCGCGTTTCGGCGATAAGCGTCAAATCTTTTTATTCGCATATCGGAGGAGAGGATGTAAAAGTGGTGGAAGGTGCCTCGCGTGACACGGAGCAATGTTATCTCGAAATTTATGGTCCTTGCGTGGACCTTAGGTCCAACGATATTTCTTCGACAAAGAAAATCTTTCCACTGTGACTATTAGTCGTGTGAGGAGTCTGGTGAGTCACACTCACCGTACTAATCAAACTTTTTTATCGCGATCATGATTTTTATCGGACATTTTGAGAGGCACGAACGGATTCTTATCGCGAACACTTGGAGAGGTAGATTAGAACATTAATTAGCGACCCGATTAGTTGACCCGATAGCGACTGAAAGAAACGAATAGGTTTTAGTACATGAGATGTGTGATATCAATTTCTGAATTTACGATACTAATTACAATACTAAGAATTCGAGGATATTGAAGTTTAACAGCAAAATTTGTATCAAATCTACAGATGATTTTTGTTACTCTTACAATTAACTAACGAAAGGCGGTATTTTCATGCAGCCCCACTGCGATTGTTCAGAGAAGCGAGGCAGAGAGAGAGAGAGAATTAAGACAGAGAATCTCTAAATGAGAATTTGAAACTTTAAAGAGAATCTGTTGATATAACTGCGTACGTGTGTTTATGTGTGTGTGTGTGTGTGTGGGTATGAGTGTGAGTATAGCCGTGTATGTGTTCACGCGTGTTTGCGTGCATGTCTAATAGGAGAAATTCATTTATTCCTTCCCACGTAGGCAGTTTAACGAATTAACTTGATACGAAACTGCGCGAATGCATTCCTCTACCGACTTTAGATTTTATTCCGTTGTTATTTTTATTCGATGACAGTAAATCGAGGCTCTGTATTTGAATATACAAGTGATAATCCAACCGGAAGGACTCGTCACTGTCCGATGAAAGTTCTTTAGTATTCCATTATCACTTAACGACCTGACGCGTAATAACGGGAGGAAATATCGTCTGCTTGTATCGATACACCAAGTTTCCGAGGCAGAAGTTGTAACGCACGGTATTCTTACTTCCACGAACTGGATAGACACCTTGTATCGGCGGATCCAGATATTATTTCTTGGGAAGGAGCGAAACTGGGGTAGCACGAAACAAATACTATTTCGCGCGGCGAGAAAACGGCTCGGGGTTAATCTGGTAGGTCGGGGGAGATAATCCGCACACGAGCGAAATGAGATATACCTCGTTTCTCCTCATGGAAAATTCTCTGGTTCCGCCACCTGCGTTTCGAGGTTTATACAAGCACTCGTGCACACGTGTATTCATTCGTGTATATAAACTCGTCTTATGACTGTATTGATTAATTGATAATTACCGCAAGACGGTTCGTATCTCGTGACTGTGTATCTATAATGTCGTATTTTACAAGCCTTCTGTCAATCTGTGATCACACTTTTAGGTATGATTGTCCGAGGATGGCATTACGGTGCGAGTGTGTACGTAACATTGTCAAATTTTGCACACATTATCCGATCTAGCCCACACAGTCAACTCGACCGAGTTCAAGATAATGATCCCGCGGCATATCCCCGTAAATGAAATTAAATGTCGAAAACGACGTCTTGTCGGATTGTCGATGCTTTTGATATTCCAAGTGACGATAATCGTCTTACAAAGTGCTCTAAGTTCGACTACCGCCTATTCGCGGACGTTGTGTGCAAAATTTGAAATTGAAATTTAAGCGTCTTTCGCGACGCGCGGGAACTTTGATAAAACAATCCGCGGCTAGTGGCCGTGCCGCGTTGATCAAATATGCAGGAAGGGGAGGGGAAGGGAGAAACATTCGGCACACGAGGCGCGGGAGATTTTATCAAAAGTTCCGTCCTGTCAAAATCGGGTTTTCGGGAAACGTCGAGAGTGAAAGAGAGGGGGAGGGAGAGAGAGAGAGAGAGAGAGAGAGAGAGAGAGAGAGAGAGAGAGAGAGACAGAGAGAAAGAGAAAAACATTGAGAGAGAGAGACAGACAGAGAGAGAGAGAGACAGACAGAGAGAAAGAGAAAAACATTGAGAGAGAGAGAGAGAGAAAGGGGGATGGAAAGAAGAGGGATGGCAAATGCCGTTGGCGATAATGCTTGAGAAATGGGACCAGGAACTAGCTTCTCGTGACTACTTTTCCCGGCTACTCGTTTTTTATTGTCCGCTTTGTTCATATCCGGGGCAGCCCGCAACAGGAACGTATCCGAAGATCGCGTGTACCGTCTCGCGTCCTCGTCGTTTCACGACGACTCGGGACGTGCACACGTGCGTTCGATCGAGCATTTTCAACGGCGCAGAACGCCGTAAGAAATTCGCGAGTTAGAGATAGGATTCGCAGATTCGTAGTTAGATGGCTTTGCTTTAACGTCTGTTTCGCCGTGCACTTGCCGTGGCGCTAACGCGCGAATAAGTACCTAAGTTAAGCAAATATTCTGTCTGTACGCGCGCGCGCGCTATATCTCTGAATGTACATACGTGTGTGTTAGCCGTGTATACGTGTATACCACGAGGAGCGCAAACGCGCGAGATCGCACGTGTTTGCGAATGTGTTTAATGATATGCGATACGAGAATATATCGGCGAGGATACGTATGAATGGCGGGTATGCGCGGACGGATGGGAAAAGATCGACAGGCACTGCATGCTTCTCGATGTATAGCTCGCCTCGCCGCGACGCCGCGAGCATCGCTACGGCTATCTTGTAAAATCTCTCCCAATCGAGCGCTCGTCCATTAATATCCACTTTTAATATCACGAGACGCAGCGAGATGGATATTATTCCGCTTCTCCGAAATACTTTCACGCTACGTCTGAACACGCGCTAAATGTACTCTTAGCTTATGCAGTGTCCGTCCACGGAATAGCTTTTTCTACTTCTAGAAATGTGTGCGCGTTTCCCTGTGTTTGTAATTATACGATTGATATTATTACATGTGTCATGCGTACACGCGATACACATTAATTATGTAATGGTATAATTCAAACGAGAGTGCGACGACGCATATAATTGTATGAAGCGCTAGTCATATGCACGGTTTGTATCTCCGACAAGAATCCGTCGTTCCGTTGCAAGGAAGGGCGAGAGAGAGAGAGAGGGCGATTAATTCGCGATATAGTCGATCGAGAATAATAAATTATTTATGTTTTCATCCGTGCGACTGAGAGTGCGCCTAGTTCGCGATCGATAGTTATTCGCGCATAACTGTGATTTTATTGTCCGTAAAACGAATGAGACCTCGATCGATAACGAGCGACGACGCGGCTATCATTCTGTGATGTGCTAACGGCATTCGTCTGTAGTGTTAATTATCGAAGGGCGTCGCCAGCGCGATAAACGCGGCGGCAAAGCGATGTCACGCTATACCGTATATACACCTCGGACGATCGGGAGATACGGTGTCGCATCAATTTGCCGTTGCCGTTAGTGATAATTAAGGTATCGACGAGTGCCGCTATTTACGGCGCGGAATACCGCTACGGGCAAGTCTCAGAGAGATGATACTTGAAACGAACACGCTCGCATGTGTCCGCGGGACTTGTCGAATTAAGCGCGGTACGTTCGACTCTCATTCGCGCATCCCCCCCGTCTCCGCCTAGCCGAGCTCGAGTAGCGTATTAGACGATGCAGCGTAGAATGTAGCAAACGAATGTGTTGGACGACGAGATAGATGTCTTAGCTAAAATAGGTCGAAGAAGCATTCCCAATGCATTCTCCCGGCATAATTGCGTGCGGCGAAAGAGTCGCGTCGCCGGGCGAAACGAAGATGTATCTGATCTCGATGTATTGTGTCGCTTCGCATTCTTCCGGTCGTCCCGCTCAGCTCACTCGGGACGAATTCGAAGCGTTAATTCCGACATATTTGTACGAGAGAGAGAGAGAGAGAGAGAGAGAGAGAGAGAGAGAAAGAGAGAGAGAGAGAGCTGGTCGGGACGAGTTCCCCGTCATGGTGGCTGCGTGTTCCGATCGGACCTATTCTGACCTCATTCTGACAAATTTGTACCGAGCGTTGGGAATAATCATATACATCGAAGTAAGTGGAGGCGATTATGGCAAACGCGCTGTGTGATTAGGCCCCGTACTATAATCATCTGGACGCATTTCATTAATACTGACGTTTTCGTGCGAATTCGTTAGAACGAGTTACCGCCAGAACACGCACTCGATATGATTATAC